TGAAAGTTTTCAAGTGTCTCGAAAGGGTCGAGTGGTCCGGGTCGCGGTCGTTCGCATCTCCATAGGGAATAAAAGTTGAGATCCGGTCGGTCGTTGGCCGAGTGGAGAGAAGCAGGGAGGCGAAAAGAACAGGGAAGGAAATTGGCAGAATGACTAGGATGGAATATTTCCGTGGTTCTTTTTCGGCCGGTAGGCGAACACGGTAAGAAAGCTTTGTCCGCCGTAGCTCGTTCTCCGGCTTCTGCCGAAGAAAATTGCGATTTAGCAGAGTGCGTGGTTGTCACCGCGGTTGGCGTGTTCCACGAAAAGCTGCCGGAAAGATTTTCGTCGCTCGGAAACATCTTCGAGCATGTCACGAAGCCAACGAACGGCACACCGGGTTGCCGGCTTCCACCTCGATAAGCTCCTCCGGGATAAGCTCCCGAGATACCGCATAAACCTACCTTGTTTCCCGGCAAAGTTATCGCGAATATTTTACCGTGAAATATCTACGCCTCGAACGAGACGCAACTTTCAGTCGAGAGAAAAGACGACTCTTAATCGATTCAGACGCGAGCAAATTTTCCCATCGACGACCCGCGTACGGAACCGCGCACCGTTTCGCCTCTTGCTCTCTATTCTTGGTCCACGCTCATCTTTTCGGCTATCGATCGTCCTTGTCTCCGTAGTCGCGTCGCCGCCATCGGATTTCTCACGTATAGAAGAATGTTGCGCGTTTCTCGTTCTCGACGTTTCGGTATTTCCGAAGGATTCGGAGAATCGTCTAGTTGCAATCGATCTCCGAAAATCGACGCGTCTCCGGAACTCGGAGAAACATCTGTCTTACGTTCGCCGGCTAAGTCGACCGTGTCACCTGTTGCTTATTAACGCGGCACCGAATCGTCGAGATTACGATTTATTCCACGTAATCGATCGGAGAAGGATAAAACGAAACGAACGGGAATCGATTCTGCCGTCGCTCGCGCGTCCTTTCAAGATTCCAACTCGTCTCGCGCTTTGCTCGCCGGATACCGAGGTATCCCCCGGCTGATCCATTCTTGCTCCATATCCGGACAAATCCATCGCTTTGTCGTTATCTAAAGCGACTTCGCGTAAACGGATAGAGCCGAGAGATCCGTCTTCCCGCCATCCCTCCTCCCGCGTTGTCGAGCAGACTCACGGCTGTTGGCTGCAATTTGCATAGCCCGCAATTTCCAAGGACCGGATACGCGCGACCGAGGCAACGAGAAAAGTCGCGGAGACTGTTAACTCGAGGGGGATTCTTTTTGCCGCGCTATCGAGAGAGGTCGTTCGGAATTGGAGAGGACGCGGCGAGAAGAGGCAATCCGCTAGTCGACGGGGACAATAGCAGCGTCACCGAGAAGGTGGCTGGTTGTCGCGGTGGTGGCGGTCGACGCTGGCGGTCGTATTGTGATCGGTGGTGCTGTAAAAGCGGCGGCGAAGAGAGGAATTGTTGGGGGCGAGATTAGAAGGAAGGGAAACGCGCGTGGGGTAAGGGGTGGGTGAGAGAACGAAGGAGAACCGGCACGGCGTACGAACGATTCGAGGGGGGCGGGAAAGTCTGTGGGCGATTCTCATTGTCGACCGTGAACGCCGCTCACGGTCGCCGATATAATTGACGCCGCCCTGCCGGATAACTCGAACGATAACGAGGACAAAAGAAACCGCGCCGGTGAAGAAAACAATGGAAGAAGATCCGCTGAAAGTACCGAAGAACGAGGAGCGCGCTCTTCGCCGCGGGATGACACGACAGTCGACTGAATCTGACAGAATTCAACCGACTTTCCGGCTTTCCGGCTTTCCGACTTTCCGGCTTTCCGGCTTTCCGGCTTTCCGGCTTTCCGGCTTACTCGCGTCCATGGCTCGAGTGCATCGACCGAGCGGCGGCAACCTCCCGACCAAAATACCAACGATTCTCGCACCTTAATTGTGCTCGTTAACGGACCCGAGCCGTGTCGCTCTCCCGGCCGATGCCAATTTTTACTACCTTTCCTCGCCTTCCTAGCAGCAGCAGCGGCAGCAGCAGCAGCTGCAGCCCCCCCAGTTTTCGCGTCGCGGATCTCCCTCACCCTTGCTCTCTTTTCGATCGTCTCGACAACTTGCTTTTAGAAATTTATACGGGTCAGATTATTTTCGTAATCCGATCGAATACGTCGTGCAAACTCGTCTCGACGCCATTCTCTCCCTCTCTCTGTCTCTCTCTCTCTCTCTCTGTGTCTCTTCGAGTGCTTTCGCTCACACGAACGATATGGATCGCTGTGGAAGCGCGACGGAAAAAGTAGCTGGATTGGCGGATGCGCGAACCGATCCAACAGGTTCTTCCGACACTCGCCTCGTCTAACGTATTTACGATAAGAAGAAGCAACTGGATCAAAGTTGGCGAAAGTCGCGAGGTAACCGACTCCTACCCCCTGTGTACTCGGTACTCGAGTTCCGATTGCTCTTTTAATCGACGAGATTATAAAAGAACGATTTACGAAGTACCGCCGTCGGCGGGCAGCAGCCATGGTAATTGCAGTTTGATCGCGTCGGTCTTCGTTAACTTTCACCCAGTTCGCCTCCACCCTCGCGCTAATGATTCTCGTGGCTGAAAACATCGATTTTTCCGAGCGAAACGTCTCGAGACGTATCGTTCTCGGCCATCGAAACGAGAATCATAAAATCGTCGTAAGAACGTACTTTGCGAGTAACGCGGCTCCCTCCGTAATTATCGCCGACATCAGAACGTGCTATCCGTCGACGCGACGTAACGACCACGCGTTACAGCTGGAAAATAGGGTGAATTTTTAATTAATCCCGCGCTTCTCGATTATTGGCAGATTTTTAATTAAAACGAACAAAAAAGGTGGAAAAAGAGGAAATAA